GTTATCACCGATCGCCGATCATTATTTCACTCCAAGACGTCGCGTGTGGAGACGCCCAGTGGAGTTACTACGTCACAACTCCAGTCGATTTTAGCCAGCATTTTAGCGTCTGCTACTGATTCACAGCCATTTGAATGTAGAAATACTCAGAAATACAACTTTGAGCTGATTTTTCTCAAGATATGTCCTCTAACATCAGAAAAATGCCACAAGAACATGTTAACACCTAGAAAAACATTATTTTCATCGGAGTGGGTCTTTAAACTGTGTCCTGAAGATGAACGGAGGTCTTACGGGCTTGAGACGACATGAGGGAGAGTCATTAATGACATCATTTTCATTTTTGGGTGAACTAACCCTTTAAGACCTCTTAAAAGTCCCCCTGCAGTCATAAACTTTATCCCTTAAAACTCATCTTTGATATTCAAAATTACATATTTATGTTAACACATTTCCTGTGAAAATAATTTCTTTTAAAATAGCTTGAATGTAACTCGACACCCTTGCTTAATTTAGTATACGTGGACTCATGAATATGCAAATTAGTCTCCGCCTCCACTCCCTCACAGCAGCTCGGATTACCTGATCACTCGCTCAACTGTAGTAAACACGACACAATGGCAAGTGTAAATGTTAGTTTAATTCAGCCATATATGTTTGAACCAGAATCTGATTCAGAAGAAGAGGAAGAGTGAATTATACAGGCTCTACAAGTCCATGAATCAGAATCATGATGCGTTTTATACAAAGTCAGACACATAACGGTAATTGATATGATTAGCCTTTGGCTTGACTATGTTATCAAACAGCTAATAATGTGTTGCTAATGTTACATAAACCATGTTCCCGTTCGCCATCTCAGACACACTGCCTTCTAAACATCACTCAACTAATGTGCTGATTTACAATCCATCCAATCTGATTTTAGAGCTGAAACTCAATTTTATGAGATTCCTTAAGATGCCTGCAGTCGTCTAGCATTTGATATGACAATAAATCTTTAGCTATACTTTTTGATGACTTCACTCTACATTAAAAATGCAGGATGAAACCTCGGCACCATGTTTCTTTCTGAGTGCACATGAAATGTTCTCAGGACTAATTGGATGATGCTGTCAGCAACTAATTAACGTGTAGTACCCATTTAAACACTAATTTTATTATATTTAAATCCATTCTGAACAATTCTGCATTTATTTATTTTTTTCAGAAAATGTGAAATTACAAATTCAGTGTGCATCCGAGTGCATGGGATGTATTGCAGTACTTAAACAAGTTTAATGGCTCTGTGGTGCTGAGTTGAATGATGACCACGCTGCGGTCGACCTTGAGGGGCGGATAGATTATTCATGCAGTGTGTGTGTGTGTGTGTGTGTGTGTGTGTGTGTGTGATGTACAGAGACAACAGAGACACGTTACCCACCACAGACTCAGACAGTGTTGAATATGAGCAGAATGCGGTTCCAGAGCGAATGCTGACTTCTAGATCACTCTTTTTAATGCTGGTTAATGATGTGAATTTAAAGCAATCTCTCTGTGTGTGTGCAGTTGTATCTCTCCTCTGCGTTACTGCAGTGACTTCCGGCCGTACTTCACTATTCATGACAGTGAGTTTAAGGAATACACCACTCGTACACAAGCTCCGTAAGTAAACCATGTGTTGGATGAGTGATCCTCAGTCTTTTACATATATATATATATATATATATATATATATATATATATATATATATATATATGTACACACACTCAAAATATAATACAAACATAACAAACAAATATAATACAAACAAAACATAATGTTTTAGATTTAATATCTATAAAATATATTAATATTACAAAGATTAATATATATATATATATATATGATGTTTCTTGAGCAGCAAATCATCATATTAGAATGATTTATGAAAGATCATGTGACACTGAAGACTGGAGTAATGATGCTGCAAAGTTTTTAAATATATTCAAACAGAAAACCGGTATTTTAAATTGTAATAATATTTCACAATATTACTCTGGGTTTAAAATATATATATATATATATTAAATAAATGCAGCCTTAGTGAGCAGAAGAGACTTATTTTAGAAACATTATAAATCTTACCGATCCCAAACTTTTGAACAGCAATGTATATACACTTCACTGTACACACACACAATATAATACAAAACAAAATATCATAACATTTAGTGAAAGCAATTAAATTATATATATATGTGTGTGTGTGTGTTCAATACATTTATTTATTATAATGTAATTTAATGTATTAATATTTGCTATACTCTATTAAATATTGTCATATTCATTTTATTATACTATATTATTGTAAATGTAATTTATAAAATAACATTTTATTATATTTTCCTTCTGGTAATGTTTATTTAGTTGTTAATATATTAATATTTGTATAATTTAATTGTTTTCATTAAATATTTTTATAATAATTAATTTAGTTTTTAATATATTCTGCTTCAATTATTGTAATCTGTTTCATTTTATCATGTGATATCATTTATAGTATTATTTTATTTAGTATATATTAAATAGAGTATAAAATACTACTATAAATACACTAGTATAGTATGTATTTTAAAATGTATAGTGTGTGTGTGTATAGACGGGTTTGTGATATTTTGAGTTTTTTGTGCTTTTGACCTACAAACACAGCATGTAATTCAATCATTGTCAGGATGAGTGTATAATCAATACGAGGTTGTTCGTTCAGATCGAGGGATGAGGGTATTTCTGGAGCTCAGACAGGAAGTGTGTGTGTGCTGTGACATGTGACACTCTTACTGGGTTCCTGTTAACCGTATCTTGTGTTTGTGTGTTGTGCTGTAGGCCTTCGGTCATTTTGGGAGTTACGAACCCATTTTTCGCCAAAACTCTCCAGCACTGGCCTCACATCATCCGCATCGGAGACATGAACCAAGCAGGTTCTGGCCTTTCAATAGTGATTAAATGCATGTACAATTAAAGCTAATGAAGCATTGACATGTTTGAGCAATATTATGACTTTCAGAAGTTTAAATGAGCAATAAAGCATACAAATCAGACAAAAAAAAAATGACTGAGGTTGTTGGCTTTGTTCTTTATTATAAATATCTTAATTTTTTTTGAAGGAGAGATGGCTAAACAGATGAAAGTGAAGAAACTAAAAAATCTGAAGACTTTGGACTCAAAACCTGGTGAGACTTGAATGAGAAACTATCATTTTATTATGTTCTGTATTCATGTAGGTTTTCTTCTGGTCTTTGTATTTCTTTCTGTTCATGTTTAAATTTCCAAAAGCAAAATAATTAAGTAAAACTCAGTGTTTGTTAGAGTAAAGTAACTGAAGGATTGTTCGTCTCAGGTGTCTACACTGCATATAAACCTTTCCTGAACAAAGACGAGGACATTATCAAGCAGCTCCAGAAGGTGAGTGTCTCTCTGGTGTATTATATCACTGCTAAAACATTCAAGCAGACGTATTAATTCAGTATTTTTGTGGTTAACTTCAGGGAGTTCAACAGAAGCGTCCTTCAGCGGCCCAGAATGCAATTCTGCGCCGATATTTCCTGGAACTTACACAGAGTTTCATCATACCACTGGTAGGAACGTTTCTTTGCATACAAAATCAATGATACGACGGCATTTACACGCACCTAGAACCTAAAATAACAGAGTTGTTATTTTTAACTAATACTATTGAAGTTGCTTTTTTCATTTGAAATAAAGTTGAAAATAACTGAAACTAAACTAAATAAAGTAACAATGCATAAATAAAAGCTAATTTAAAATATTTTAAGAAATAGTATAATATAGTATATAAATAATGCTAAAATAACACTGGTCCTGACTACCTCAAAAACATGGTAAATGCAAGTCTTTAAATTCCAGACCATTCATTTAGGATATAATTTTACAATTAATGTTATAATATGTTTGATCTGCAGGAGCGTTATGTGGCCAGTCTAATGCCTCTACAGAAGAGCATCTCACCCTGGAAAGTATGTTTTATTTTTTCTCTCTTTCTTTTAGAATTAATTTAGCGACTTTATTATGTTTATTGTATTACTCTTTTATTATGTTCCTTCTCTCATTTCCCAGAGTCCTCCACAGCTGCGGCCGTTCAACCAGGAGGAGTTTATGAAAACCCTGGAGAAGGCCGGACCTCAGCTCACCTCACGACTCAAAGGAGACTGGATCGGCCTCTACAGGTACAGATGCTCTCAAAAAAAAAAAAAAACATTGTTATATATATATAATTTATATATTGTCAAATGTATTTTATTAGTTTATATATCAATCTAATTTATTAATTTGTTTATCAAATTCAATTAAAATGTATGTAATTTACATACATTAAATAAATTATATATAATGCATTTAATTTTATATATATTATATAATGTTTATATTGCATCATATATATTTTATTTCTTTTATATAAGTATAAATATATCATTTTATTAATATATATATAAAAATTATTTACATTCTATATCATTTATTTAATTAAATTATATTTATATATTTATTATAAATGTATCATTTTAGCAATATATATAATTTAATATTTATAATAAATTATATATATTAAATTATATATTTAATTTAATATAAATATTAAATGATATATATTAATACAAATATATATTTATAATACAATATATACAGGTATTATAAATATCATATATAATTTCAATATTGTATAATATATATTCTGTTTAATTAATATATATATATAATTTATGAATGCATAATTCTCTGCTCTAATAAATTTCTTCAAAATTTTGCGTACTTTAAAGCTTGCTCACAAGCCGTAATGAATCCTGATTTGTGAGCTGTGTGTTCTGTTGAGATGCTTCTTATCAGTATCACTCTCAAATTGCTCTGAAATATTTGTAAGCAAATCAGTTTCAATCAGAAAGTGATTTTAAAATGCTTAACCAGTTATCATGGAAAAGTTAGGATGTTCAAAATACATCCTATGGTCTTCCCGACAGGCTTGAGAATGACTCCTGAATTCCAATTCAATTCTTGAATTTGAATTGATGTCAAAAACAGGATCTAGAATTACAATTCGAATTTGAATTAAAGGAAGCAGAATTGCAATTCAATAAAAAGAAATTCATATACACATTTTAAGTGAAGTGTTTAACAATGAAGCTTTACAGTATTTGTCAGATATGATTGCATTACATATTCCATAATCCCTAGTACAAATTCAACTTCCTGTGGGGCGGAGTCAATTCAAATTCCAATTCATGGAAGAGGCCAATTTTGAAATTCTGAATTTTGCACAAGCCTGCTTCCCAAACAAATCTTTTCTTCGATATAAAAGGTTTTCCTTTAAATGCATCTTCACTGTTTCCGTCTGTTCTCGCGCAGGCAGTTCCTCAGGTCTCCTAACTTCGATGGCTGGTTCAGAAACCGCAGGAAGGAGATGATGCAGAAGCTGGAAGCTCTTCATCTGGAGGCTCTGTGTGAGGAAGACCTACAGCTGCGGATACAGAAACACACCGAGGTGGAGACGGTCGACCTGGTGCTCAAACTCAAGGAGAAACTGGTCAGTACTGCAGTCGTTCTGTGTGTGTTACGACAACAGTTCTGGAGTGGGATTTTCTTTGTGTAGGAGTAGTTCACTTTAAAATGAAAATTAGCCCATGATTTACTCACCCTCAAGCCATCCTAAGTGTATATGACATTCTTTCTTTCAGACCAATACAATCAGAGTTATATTAAAGGTGCATTGCGCAGCTCTCTGAGTTTTTGCAGAACTATGCCCCCTCTGGCGACAAGCGAAACTGCCTTACTGTCTTTGTCTTGCGTGGAGTTTGCGTTGGGGTTTATGAACTACAAGCCGGTCTTTGAATCCATCTTCTACTTTTGTCGAAAGTTGACTGAAGTTTTGTCGCTCGAGTTGTCTTCGCTAATACGGAGAATCGCGGCGAATACACAAACCTGCCAGACATAGCCAGCTGAGCGTGAACGCGCATGACGTCACGCCCAGTCTCACGTTCCGGCCCGAATCCCTCTTATTTATTTTACTGTACAGGATTATAGAGGCAATCGCAGTGATCAGAGAAGGGCTCATTCAGCCCATCAGGCAATTGTTTAAGCATGTATGGGTTAGAAAAACGGGTATTTTTAACATGAAATGTTGCGCAATGCACCTTTAAAGTAACACTATGTAGTTTTTCAACCTTCATAATATATTTCCAAGACCCTTGTGATGGTACATCGACTTACAATAGGTTAAATGACACGTCTGCCACAGCCTGACGTGGTCTGTATCGCTTTTACTTGCACTATGTAACTTCGGGTTTCGGGTAGTAACCCGAGCACAAAAAGAACTACAAAATTCGACTGCTTTACGGCATACGTCACTTCCTCAAATTGTCTGTGGCCATTGTTGACTCCAAAGCCGGTGCTGGATAAACAGCGAGCGTGCGTGCGACGGTAGGCTAAATTATTTACGACAGCGGTAATGGACAATTCCGCTTCCAACCTGTAGGGCGACCGCAGAGGAAAAGTTCCTTGGTGTTGCTTTAAATGTCCCGTTCTTCTTGTTTTTTTGAAGCTTTGATTGTGTTTACAGTGTGCAATATAACATGTGTTCATGTTTCGCGTGTAAAAAAACACAGTATTTTTCACACAATTTACTTATCTGTATACCGCTGTTTTCACTGTCCAAAAAACGGCCCGATGACTTCCTTGTTCTATGAAGTCCCTCCTTCAGAAACACGTAACGAGTTCTGATTGTGCCAGCGGGTCCTGTGTTGTGATTCGACAGCAGCTTATCGCACGTTGCCCGGAAAAGTCACGCCTCTTACCATGCGCAGCTGAAGTGCTTCTTCTCCGTGGGAGCGCAACAAGACCACGCCCCCTTTTTTTGTGTATTCCTGTGGGCGGAGATTAGTCGAAAAGCTGTTCTAGTTACGTCATTAAAAAAGGAAGTAGAGGGATGTAGTCCAAACCGGCCGTTCGCTGTATGCTTTGAAAGGGGACTTCTGTTAAATAAAATATCTCGCTAGGCATTGAACTTTGAGCTTTATCATTTTACAGGTATTATTTACCGTAATTCCTCAAATAAAGGCCGGGGCCTTTATTTACCTGAACTGCAGATGGTAGCCGGCTTTTATTTGAAGCAGGCTTTTATTAGAGGCAGGCCTTTATTTCTAATTCGCGATCCCCGCCCGCCCGCCAGCCAAGTTTCCATGGTGACACGTCATGCTTGGCACGTGTTCACCACAGCCAAAATAGCGCTGTATGACAGATGTAGCGCTTTTATTTCTAAATATTAACAAACTTGCTTACCATGTCATCAACTATCTTCTATTCTGACTCTCAAATCCGTGTAAGTGAGTTTGTTTTGTCGTTTAAAACCCTTTATAAATGATCTTGATCTGTAACGTGAGATGGGCACCGCAGTTCGGAGATTCCTGTTGTATTTGTTAAGTTACAGCGCGTGAATTCTTCAGTTTCTCCCGAAATACATGAAAGTAAGTGGCCGGTGAACTGGGAGAAGAATAGATTAAACTTTATAGTTACTTACACACTGTGTATCTGATATGAATAAAACACGTCGCCAAATATATTTGAATGGATTGTTATTGCTGCTTCCATAGACACCATTGTGTATTTTACAAACTATAAATTTATTGTTTTGCTATAAATCATATCTATTTAAATGTCTGAAACCTAAAATAAACATGTGGTTAAAAACACTGAATAGTTGTGATATATGACAAGCGCTGAGCGCGTCCGTCTTTGAGTGTACATTCATTTAAAGTGTACCTATTCACACTATTTTTTCCCCGGCCTTAATTTGAGACCGGCCTTTATTTGTCCGCGTTGACCACGCCCCCGGCCACTATCAGAGGCCCGGCGTTTATTTGAATACCGGTCTTTATTTGAGGAATTACGGTATACTCTAACAGCAACATTACACACTAACTAAAGTTTGGAATCGCGAAGAACGGGACCTTTAATAAACACCCTGATGCTTGCGAGCTTTATAATAGCAGTGGATTGTAATCATCAGATTGAAGCTCAAAAAAGTGCATCCATCCATCATAAAAGTGCTCCAGGGGTTTAATAAAGGCTTTCTGAAGCAAAGCAATGAGTTTGTGTAAGAAAAATATTCATATTTTACACGTTACTTAAGCCCCTTTCACACAGCGCGTTGATCCCGGGAAATTGCCAGAATGCCTTCTGTGTGAACGCAAACACGACCCGGGATTGATGCCGGGTTGACTTGCCGTGTTCAGTCCCGGAACGCGCGCTGTGTGAACAAAAGCCGTAATCAATGCCATGTCGTAATGATGACGCTGAAGTGAAGTGAAATCAGGCTAGTAAAACGGTGCGTAATGCGCTAGTTTAGGGGTGTAACGATACTCTCATGTCACGATTCGATACATATCACGATCCTGAACTCACGATACGATATTATTGCGATACTCCAAGACATATGGTTAAAGATTAAAATGCTAAATTTGATATTACATTGTGGGTGTAAATTAATAGGTTTGGACTTGGTGCTGGAAACCCAATGCACAGGACAATAGAGACACCAGAATAAAAAATATTGATGATTCTGAAGCTGATAATACAGAATTATTTTAGACGAACATGCTTTCTCTCTGACTAGATATTTTTAAAATAATGTAGGCCACGTTTTACTGGCAACATCAGACGTTTGGCATTATCAGGATCCACAAATAATCCCCCATTGCATTATTCTACATTATATTCAACATTATAGTTTAATGTAGTACTGAGAAACTCTGTAAACTTGAATTTTTTCCTCGCATAGCCATTTTTATTTTGGGTGAACTAAACGCAATACATATTGTCACTATCCACAATACATATTGTTGCATTTTTGTATTGCAATATATTGTGACACGATATATTGTTACACCCCTACTAGTTTATGATCGAATCAGAGAATAAAATGCACAAGTGTGGAGAGAGAGAGAGAGAGAGAGATCGCAGCTCATAAACAAACTTACGACGCTGCTGAGACATTACATGTCACATCGATGTCACGTGTCTTTACGGGATTTTTACAGGTTGTGTGTGAACGCACTCAGTGTGAATGAGGCAGTGTGAGGCCCCGTCCACACTACTGCGTTTTCGTTTAAAAACGGAAAAAACGAAGACCTAAAATGGAGAAGTTTAGAAACGCTGCAGCTCCGTTTTGCGTTTTGAATCTCCGGAGGGCGTTTTAGTGAAGACGGGACAAAACGGAGGACTTTAGAAACGATGGCGCAGAGGCTCACGCTCGGCTCTATGATTGGGTGTCATCAGTCATGACGTATCCTTCCCTGATTCGTCAGCCACCCATCACACGTCAATCCGTTTCCTGTTTACACCGGCACGCGCATGCCCAGTGTTGGTGAATGGTCACGTGATCCGCGTTTTCAGGCGTTTTAATGTGGACGGAGATCAATTCTAATACGCAGATAAAACGCTGGTGTGGACGGAGATCGTATTCGTTTTAATTCTCCGTTTTTAAACGAAAACGCAGTAGTGTGGACAGGGCCTGAATGAACCAAAATCAAACGAACCCAGGTCAAATCCCGGGTCACTTTATCCATGTATTTTCCGGAATCTCTGTGTGAAAGAGGCTTCCGGCCAAACGGCCATGCGAGGTCTACTTGCGGACAAAGCGCAACCTACACAACTTATGACGTCAGAAGTAGAGTAGTGCGTCATGGCGTAGCGTAAATATCAGCAATGCGTCGCATTACTCGCATAAGTTGCACTTTAGACTTTAGTGGAATCCGTATGTTCGTTTGGCCGGAAGCTAGAATTTTACTTTGTGTAACGTGTTAAATATGAATATTTTTCTTACACAAACTCATCGCTTTTTACAACTTCGAAAAGTCTTTTTTAAAGGGGTCATATAATGCCATTTTTCTACAAGCTAATATGATTCTTTAGGGTCTAAATTAAAAGTTTGTAATATACTTTAATTAAAAATTCTCATTAGGATTGTAAGAAAACACTTATTTTACCTGGTCAAAAACAGCTCTGTTTTCAGCACGCCGTTTCAGTGCATATGACTTTAAATGATAATGAGCTTTGCTGACTCCGCCCCTCTGTTCTGCGCATACACCGTTTGTAACACAATAACACAATAACCATAACACGTTGTTCAGTATAAACGTGGGATTATGAATTATATTGAGAACGTCATACATAGAAAACATGCCGTAATGTACCCTGAGTGTAAACCTTAGCCGCATTCATTGTGAAGCGTGCAGCTAGCGATTTACAAGGATTAATATAAATATTAATATAAAGTTTAATAAAACCTTACACTCACTTCAGTTGTTCTAGAGGTTCTGCAGGAACACGAATAGCTGGTACCGATCTTTTTTCAGGAGCAGCTTCTTAGCAAAACCAGCTTTATACTGACCCTCGTTTATAAAGCAGTCTGGTGTGTGAAATGATTCGCGCAAACATGAGAGCATTGACGTTGCTCGTGGGGAATATTCCCTTCGAAAACAAACTCAGCCACTGCGTCTTCAGCGGTTCGGATTTAGGAACATTAAAATGACTGTGTTCGTTATTACACCCAAGAACAGAACACCACAATCGCTTAGACGCCATTCTGCTCATAGACAGTGCTCCAGCATATCAACAATGACCGCGCCGGTCCGTGCGGACTATGATTGACAGCTGGCTCACGAGCGAGGGCGGGTCTGTGTTGAAACGCTGCTGTCATTCAACACTCGTGGGAGGGGCTTCCGAGCGTGTGACGTCACAGGCTCGAACGGCTTGATTTGAGGCAGGGGAAAACATATAAGGAGATTAAAACAAAACCACTGGATGGATTTTTATCATTATATGATGGTTGTGTACAGACACTGCCAACACACATTTCAGTACAATCAACTTGTAAAAGTGCATGTACCATTAAATGACCCCTTTAATATTTTCTACATTGATTGTACTTTTTTTTTTTTTTTATCTCCTGTTGTGTCTCAGACTCAGGCCGAGAAAGATCAACTCCCTGTCAAACCAGGAACTCTGCCCAAACTACAGTCCCATATCGAGACCATCATACTCTCTCTTCCAGAGGACCTGCAGGGCATCTTACACAAACCACCGAGCCCTTGACCATCAGCCAACGCTGACACACCCCAGACTAGGGCGCATACGGGGTTAACAGACACGACCCCGCCGGGTTTCTGCTGGATCCTCCAAGTGCACTTGCTGCTGCAGATCTGAGTGCCCTTGAACGGACAATGCTGGCATTGCCAAAAAACAGCACAGACGACTGACCGCACAGCAAGTGACTGAGCGCCCGAGGGACGAATGATGGCAGAAATCATGATACGGACACGTTCTGAATCTGAATGCTGTAAGTCTCACTGTGTGAGATCAACATTCCCATTTGTTTTAAACATGAAGACGCTTATAAGATGGAATCAGGAAAAAGTACTGGATCGGAGTGGGCCGGATTCATATTCACCTCCATAATGAAAATATTGAAATGGCATCACTTCCTCTTCTCATGAAACCTGTCGAAAAACATCTTCAAAATGAGGACTAGGGAATAAGAAATTATATTTTAAATCAAGAAAATAAAGCCTATTTTAAGACCATTTAAAATACCATTAATACATATATATATATAATTGCACTATGGCATTATTTTTGTGATTATCAGGTTATATTTCACCCCAATCTGAGGAATTAAGAAACTATATTTTGCATGGATTATTTTCATAATTAAACGCATTTTAAATTCATTACTATAATGCTCCAAATCTAATTTTCATTACTGTGAAAAACACAATGACATTATTTAAATTGTGAAGTATTAAATTGTTAAATATTATTAAAGTATTTATTATTATTATGCACTACATTATTATTCAAAAATGAGAATCACCATGAATATTGAGAAAAACCCAAACATGATGCATTACAAAATTAATGCAGAAATCTCCTTAATTATCAAGAAAATGTCACATGCTAAAAATCTTAATGGGTCTAAAAATAGGCTTTTAGATTTATATTTTGGGGCGAAATGTTCCCTGGAAATGTTTTCATGATATTCAACTGTGTTTTGAATTTGATATTGCAATAACAGGCAGATTTATGTCTCCTTTAACAGAGACAAACACTACTAACCTATAAATGTTGAAGAGTATATTTCATCTTACACATTATCACAGCTTTAACCCTACAGCACAAATGCAATATGAACTTCTCATAATGAAGGCAAACCCAACAAAGACCAGTGCAGTTTTACATGTATTTATTTATTTTTATTTTTAATTCATAAACTGACTAACGACAGAAGGGAAAAAAGCCATTGTCTTTTCCTTTCCTCTCCAGCTTCATTGAACTGAATGACCCGTCGCTGGTCAAACAGAGAGAACTAGTCTAGTTATAACTTTCCAGAGATTGTCATCTTCCTTCTACTTCAATATCATGTACACATCCTCATTCAGAAAATGAATACTTAAAGGGATAGTTCACTTTGAAATGAATTTTTGATATGTTTTAGCTTACCTCAAGGGCATCCAAGATGTAGGTGTCTTTGTTTCCGCAGTAGTTTCAATTTTGATATTTTTAGGTCAAACCGTTCTTGTCTGTCAGTCATATAATGCAGGTCTATGGTCACCACCTCAAAGAGCATGCACAGAGAAGTCCAAATTAAACATGATTTAATGACTCGTAAATGTAAGTACACACTGATGGCCTAAGACACGAAACGAGCGGTTTGTGTGAGAAAACGAACAGTATTTATATCGTTTTTACCTCTTGTAAACACAGCCACGTCCAAGTGATCTGAGGGCGCCGGCGCTTCGGTCTGTGCGTTACAAAACGATATAAATACTGTTCATTTTCTCACACAAACCGCTCGTTTCGTGTCTTAGGCCATCAGTGTGTACTTACATTTACGAGTCATTAAATCATGTTTAATTTGGACTTCTCTGTGCATGCTCTTTGAGGTGGTGACCATAGACCTGCATTATATGACTGACAGACAAGAACGGTTCGACCTAAAAATATCAAAATTGAAACTACTGCGGAAACAAAGACACCTACATCTTGGATGCCCTTGAGGTAAGCTAAAACATATCAAAAATTCATTTCAAAGTGAACTATTCCTTTAAACACACTATAGTCTTCAAATACAGCTTTTCTTCACACTTGCTGGACCGATAAAGGTGAATAATGCGGTTTCTTCGTGCCTTTGATTTTCTGTTTAGCTTGATTTGATCTCTTTTAGGACCAAGTGTGTAGTTTGAGAGTACGTCAGTGCTTTAATATCATGAAATATGATTGTTTGACCTTTAGAGAGAGCTTCTGTTATTTGCACTTTATCGGTGGAATGTGTCGAGCAACAGGAGGTGTTTCTTCTCAAAAATGTGCATAACCATAACACGTGCTCATATTCCATGAAGTGAACCACCAGAAATGCATCTCTTCTGTTGTGTGCCTTGAGCTAGAGAGACAAAGACCGTCGCACTCCTTCACTCTCGGATGTCGGATCATAGGATGCTGATGACTCATGGGACGTGTTGATGAATGAATCTGGGCCTGTGTGACAGGAGGCTTGTGAAAACTGGTTGTTGGGCAACCATTCATGTTTTATATTTGAAGAACAAACCTATTTTAACATGCTTGAATTTTAAAGAGGTATATTCTAATACGCTAATAACGAACTGCTTTTGACACGATGCCTGTTTGTTATACTGATGGATATTTTCTAACATCTGTATTTTTGATCTGCTCATTTATATTGGTAGTTATTGTACAGGATGTTTTATTTGTTGCTGTGGTGATTATTATAGAATGATATCAATGGAAATTTGCGTTGTTTTGTAAACCATGTTCACCAAACCACAGTCCAACGTTTCAGCATAAACAATATTTTTCTATCAAACCCCTAACCACTATTTTTTTTTTCTGTAACCAGAAAAAAAAAAGCTTTTCCCTAGAAAGAATTTCATTGTTCTGTTTCCTTCATGAAGAACAAGTATATATTTTTTCCAGGTGTAAATAAATGTCAATTATGAATCTGTGTTGAGCATAAATCTATTTCTGTTCCTTTTGATTCTAGTATCGGTGTAACTCTAGTATATTTTATTGCTAGCATGTTACTAAAGAAATCACACAAAGCTGTTCTGCCCTTATTTGATCATTATTTCTGTAATGAATGTTTGGTTTAAGAACAGTAAAACTATCGTAGATTGGTATTTTGCTATTCTATTTTAAATGAAATAGGCTACAATTCATAATTACAATATTTTGTAAATAAATACAACGTTTATTGAAGATATTTCAAAGGCACATATTGAAGGCAGACATGTACAAAAATGTATTTACACCAGTAGCAAGTTAAATATACAGTGAATTAGAATTATATATAAGAATGTTTAACAATATTCCATGAATATCCCAAAATAAAACAAATCTGGAGACATATACATTCAGTTATGATTTAGTGTGTTTTCTTCTGTGGCGTTTTATCGTTTGGACAGTTGATCCGAGAGCCAATCCAGTCCTTCATATAAACCTGATCCATGAACCGCACATGTGGGCTGAACGAACCACTGAGAGAGAGAGAGAAACACATGTGACCTCACACATCATCAGCTCTATTCTGCTCATCTGCATTGAGTGTGTGTGTGTGTGTCTCTCACTCACCTGTCTTCCTCTCAGTGTGTGTAAACCCAGTCTGTCTGTCAGCTCAGAGACGGTCATGGCTTTGGGTAAATCCTGCTTGTTAGCAAGAACTAACAGAACAGCGTCTCTCATCTCATCCTCCAACAGCTGAAAAGGTTCAAATGGATTTGATGCTCGTACACAATATTACAAGACTGAATTATACTGAACTAGTGTAATATATCTGATGATATAGATGACGTACCATCATTTTTAGTTCCTCTGCTGCCGTTTCAATCCTCTCAGGATCACTGCTGTCCACCACAAAGATCAGACCCTGAATCACACACACACACACCCACTTTGTTAGGGCATTTCTAAGTGATAAAATATTAGATACATATTGAACTGAACACATAATTACCTTAGTGTTCTGATAGTAATGTCTCCAGAGGCGTCTGATAACGTCCTGACCGCCGACATCCCAAACCGTGAAGGAGATGTTTTTATATTCAACTGTCTCAACATTAAACCCTAGAGAGAATCAGAGTCAGTCATTATCAGTGATTCAGTACTTATGAAATATAATAAACAATAAATATTTGTTTGACCTGAAATTTCTTACCTAGAGTTGGAATGGTTGTGACAACTTCACCAAGTTTGAGTTTGTAGAGGACCGTTGTTTTCCCTGCTGCATCCAGACCAACTTGGAAAATAAATATTCATAACGTTTATTCCACAATGAAAATGCACTAGACTCATAATTGGAATATTTTCTTAAGTTTTATTAAATTCACGTATCAATTAATATGCATCTGTTTGCACAAGAGACATATATTTTTTAAAAACTGAAAAAGAATCAAAGAGTACATTTATTACATTTTCGATAAATAAAAAATGTACTCACCCATAAGCAACCTCATCTCTTTCTTCTCAAAGAGACGTGAGAAAATGTTAGAGAAGAAGACGCCCATTTTTTAAAGTGCAAATGAAAAAGCTTTTTGCTGTATTCAGTGGATGAAGCCCAGATTGCTTGTGTGAAGATGTGTGAGTGTGTGAGTGTTTATATAGGCTGTTTGCTTTCGGTTTGACTGACAGCTCAACACCGCCACTCTCTCACACAAGACGCGCGCAGTTTCTCTCGCGGCAAATCCAACGCGTTCGATATGACGTCACGCCATCATCACGTGACAAAACAAAGTGCAAAACAATCAGGAACAAGACAAGAGTTGTTATTTTGGTAATCAAACAGACAGTATCAGTGAAGCGCTATTTTATTTTAAATAAATAAAAATATATTATGCGTGTTGTACTTTGTACTTGTACTTGTTATAGAAAATCATATTAAATTAAGGGTGACATTTCCACCACAGAATGTCTCAAACTCTGAGCCAAAATGTTGCTAAACAGCTATTTTTAATTTAACAACCATTTGTATGCATCAAAACATAAAATAGTAGCAATAGGAGGTATGCTGTGTAATATGAAACTCAACTTGTGCGGGCTATATAGGCATCAGAAATTATGTTCACAATGCCTGAAGGAAATATAAAACATCGCACATGTTCCTCGTCAGATTTACAGAACTTCTGAAATCTTTATTCAGCTAGGAGATTAAGTTTACATCATAACAATATTTGCTTTTAGACAAGAGTACAGTATGTGACGTCATATCGAACGCGCTGGATCTGCCGCGAGAGAAACTGCGCGTGTCTTGTGTTGAGCTGTCAGTCAAACCGAAAGCAAAAAGCCTATATAAACACTCACACACACACACCAACATCACACTATCAATCTGAGCCTCGTCCTCTGGACATTTATTTTCTCTGAATACAGCATTTTCATCAGCACTTTTAAAAATGGGCGTCTTCTTCTCTAACCTTTTCGCACGTCTCTTGAAGAAAAAAGAGATGAGGTTGCTAATGGGTGAGTACATGTTTCCCCCCCCCCTCAAAATGTACTTGTCTTTACCCCTTATTATTTGATTCGTATACAAATTTTGAACAAACTATTATTTCTCTATGGCGAATATATGCATATTAATTTGCCCTAATTAATGTGTGATTTTGAAAAATGAATCTTGTGCATTTCCATTGTGAAATAAATATATATTTCTTCTTCAAGTTGGTCTGGATGCAGCAGGGAAAACCACAATCCTCTACAAACTCAAACTTGGTGAAGTTGTCTCATCTATTCCAACTATTGGTAAGAAACTCAAAGAAAAACATATTATTTTTCTGCATACATTTTTATTCTATATGTCATGTCTAACTGCTCATGATTCTGCCATCCACCTCCTCTCTCTAGGTTTTAATGTTGAGACAGTTGATTATAAAAACATCGCCTTCACTGTGTGGGATGTCGGCGGTCAGAGTGTCATCAGAGGTCTCTGGAGACATTACTATGTGAACACCAAGGTAACAGAGTTTTATCACTATTTAAGTGCAATCTGATTTGTCCAAATGTGGTTTTATTTGTAAAATGTTGACTTTGCATGTGTGTTTGTGTGATTCAGGGTCTGATCTTTGTGGTGGACAGCAGTGATCCTGAGAGGATTGAAACGGCAGCAGAGGAACTAAAATTGATGATGGAGGAGGATGAGATGAGAGACGTCGTCCTGTTAGTTCTTGCTAACAAGCAGGATTTACCCAAAGCCATGACCGTCTCTGAGCTGACAGACAGACTGGGTTTACACACACTGAGAGGAAGACAGGTGAGTGAGAGACACACACACACACACACACACACACACACACAATGCAGATGAGCGGAATAGAGCTGATGATGTGTGAGGTCACATGTGTTTCTCTCTCTCTCTCAGTGGTTCGTTCAGCCCACATGTGCGGTTCAAGGATCAGGTTTATATGAAGGACTGGATTGGCTCTCGGATCAACTGTCCAAACAACAATAATTCATGATTTAAGTCGACATGAAATGGAAGTTGCGAAAGTCTTCTCTTCCTTATTGTGACGTATATCTGGAACATTGCAGGGCTTGATCGCGCCAGTAAACACGTCATCACAGAAGAGATGTCGCTGCAACAGAGAGGGGAAGTTAATTTGATTAAAGATTAACTTAAAAAAAAAAAAATAATGATGTGCACTGAATCTGATACAACATTTATGATAAATACTGTAATATTCCATAAACAACAAGAATTATCCGTGATTTCATGGTCGCTTTAATACTTTATTTTGTGATTTTTGTGGACTGATACTTGAAAAATACACTGTAATAGAATGTACTGTATATATTATAACAGCCTTCAACTGTTTATTATCTCAAAAGCATTTTGATTTATTAATGTTAAATCAAAACTGTATATTTTAAATTGTTAGTCTTAGCTTTGAAAAATTATTTATACAGTATATATTATGTCATTCTTCAATGGACTTTGAAAGAAAGTTTTCGTATGTGTTCTGTATTTGCACTTTGAAAGAACGACCTGATGTCCACCTGTAATATACATCTGTGCCTTTCAAATATCTCCAATAAATTATGTATTTATTTACAAACATCAATATTCCTATAATAAATACATAGTCAAATTACTGCATGTTTTAGTGCAAAAACAGAACTGCTGTTCCAAAAATATCAATCTGTGCTTGCAAACAGCTTGTAATATGTTTCCTGCTATACAAAAGAGGAGATCAAACACCCTGCAATAAAACAAGATTTTATAAAATTTTTGTGATTTTATACCTGTGGTTATCTTTAAGGTTGCCTTTTTTTACACCCGGCTGGGGGACCACCGATGAAAATTAGCACTTTTGAGCTAACTCGGGTACATTTACATTGTTTCAATGTTGATTAATGTACACTGTCCCCTTTCAAATAAAGAGAAAATGAAGAAAGAAAAAATGAAATGAAAGAAAACTCACTATCTGCAGAGAAGATCTCAAAGACACAGCCTTGCCCAAACTTCTCTCCGTGCTTATCTGTGCTGTACTCCTCCTTTCCCCTGATTCAAGTCACTGAAAGTCACTAGGAATGTCTATGTTGTGAATCTATTGTTTCATGTTTGGTATCATTTTAAATGTCTCAGTGCGATTGGTAACATGGTCTCAATTTCACAGCAGTCATTTGCATTTATGAGAAAGATTGAAAACTTAGGAGAATTCAGTTCCCCTAGGTGGTGTCTCTTTAAGATATCTGGTAATCATGGCTTCTCTCCCTCGAAACTAGGTGTAACACTTAGGGAACCGACTAAAGAGGTATTAGCTAACCCTGCACCCTCTGACTAAGATCACAACTGCTGAGTTTGTGTTTGCACTATCAACAAAATATCCTATCTTTATTTAATCAGGGACAGTACATTAATAGTATACACTGTAAACCCGAATAAGTTGGCACAACTCAAAAAACATTCAAGAAATTCAAAGTTTAAGTAAGCAGAACTGACATATTTTTATTTTATATTTTTTTACATTTGAATTGTTCTTAACTTGAAATGTTTGAGTACACTAATTCATACATTTAACTTAAAATGTCATGTATTCTCAATGTGAACACGTTTATTAGTGTAAACTTACCTAGTTTGCTAACATACTATTTTGTTAACATCTTAACAATAGTATGCTATACATTAACACTTGCAGCAATATAAAGGTTTTATTTGGTTTCAAATCAAGCTCATGCACCACTTGTCACCATGATGGTAACTATCCTAAAACCAACATTAACAGAAATTCTTCTAAATTAGCATAACGAAACATTAATCATTACTAAATCACCCGCTTAACATTAATCTTGCACAAAAAAACATTGTATAACACTTAATTTTAGCATTTACTCTCCCTTTCGAGTGCCATCGGCAAAGCATGCTGGGAAATATACATCCCAGCCGTTTCAGTTAAACTTAAGTTCGTCTAAATTAAAAGAAATTATTTCATAAAACTCAAAACAATTAAACAATTCAGTTTACTTAAAATATATCCATTCTGTGAACTTGAAAGAAAAAGAAAGTGCTAAATACTCATAAAAATTAATTTGACAGAACTAATTAGTTTAATTTAAGTTTTTCCTACTCAAATCAATTAAGTATTTTGAGCGTTAGCGTTTACAGTGTATAACAATATGTAAAATACGCCAGATTTAGCTAATTTTCATCTGTGCTCCAGCATCCCCATTCTTCCATACTAACACACACACACACACAACAGGTGTCTTAACCCCACTTAATTAATGACACGCCCCTTTTGGTCACATGACTTTCCCATTACATAGCTCCTATGCATTATCACACACGCTGTTGGATTCCGTCGGTCCTACAAGCTCCAATAAATTATGCATTTACAAAAAAAAAAGTCTTGAATACTGCTTTCACTTTCTATAACTAAACTGTATTTGGGAAATGGAAAGCTGATTTTTTTTTTTTTTATCTATTAATTTGTCATTTAGCTAGTGTTTTTTTTATCTAAAGTGACTATACAGTAACCTTTATAAAGGTTCAGTCCAGCTGAGTAACCTAGAGTTGAGTGTGTGTTGAACTGCAACACTGTTCATATCACCATTTGGGATCAGACCTTTGGTTACCACCACCAAACTTTAAACACAACATGATGCAATCTTTTTTTTAAATTCCATGTTAGTTAAAACTGTAGGCTAAGTAATTACAATTTCTTATGATAAGAAATTATATTTTAAAAGAATATTTTGTAATATTTGTTATATATATATATATATATATATATATATATATATACATATGTGTGTGTGTGTGTGTGTATTTATACCAATGTCAAACAGCAATACGTATAGGCCTACTTTTAAGGCAAAATTGTATATTTTTCGCTATCGGTTATGTGCACTTATGCCACCTTTTGTTATTTGGTTAATGTTTTTTGTATTATTTTATTGTTTTGTGTGTTACCCTGATGGTGTTTGCTATTTGGTGACCATTTTACGTGTTATTAGTGTTTACAGTTGCTTGATAAACTGATTATAATGAACTTTAAGTTCATTGCATTTGCATCATCTGATTTGTTATGTTGGTAGTGGTACATAGTAACAAATGTAATTGCTCAAATCGCTTGGGAATGTTAAAGGGATAGTTCACCCAATGAAACATGAAATATCTGTCATCATTTACTCGCCATCAAGTTGTTCCAAACCTGTATGTGTTTCTTTCTTCTGTTGAACACAAAATGTTGGTAATCAAAAAGTTGACGGTTGCCATTGACTTCCATAGTTGGGGGAAAAATACTCCATCAACTCTGTCTGGTTACCAACATTCTTCAAAATATCTTCTTTTGTGTTCAGCAGAAGAAAGAAACTCATTGGAACAACTTGAGGCGGGTGAGTAAAATATGACAACATTTTCATTTTTGGGTGAACTATCCCTTTTACATAATTTAGTGACATACAGAGAGACCAAAATGCTTGTAATATTATCACAGTGTTTTTATGGTGAAGGTCTAGCAATCACAGCAACTATTTATGCCTGACCAGACGCTCTGCTCATATTTGCCACACATTTATTTACTTCATTCAATCGAGCTAACTTTAAATTAGACAAAAAAAAAAAGTTTGTTTTGACACGTGAGACACGTTCGGTATGTGACGTCATATCGAACGCGTTGGATTTGCCGCGAGAGAAACTGCGCGCGTCTTGTGTGAGAGTAGCGGTGTCGAGCTGTCAGTCAAACCGAAAGCAATAAACAGCCTACCCACACAGCAGGAGACTCCTAAGCGGATCCGCGTTCAAGTCGCCAAACCCGCGTAACTGTCACATTCGTTTTGGGGCCGCCCAGAGGATCAGCTCCGCCTCCTGGAGGCGCCGTAAATTCTACTGTCAAACAACGGATCCAGTGCGGACCCATGTCGGATCCTAGGACGCGGACGCGCCTTTACTGTAGCTGCTAACGGTTGAACTAACGTTACAGCACACCAGGAGCCGATCATCAGTCGAGCCTTTCTTTGCTGGGACACGGTTGCGCTGAACCCTCTTTTGAGTAAGTAAGTTATTTATATATATAAGTTATATATTGCGACATTGACTGTAAACATTGTTTTTTTTATCATCATGTAAATTATTGTAATGTCGTTGTTTGAAATTATTGACAACTTAAACATGTTCACTCGTGGATAATGATTTAGCGCTAGCTTCTAGCTAGCTGTGCATTGCATAGTTTAACAACAAATCAAAACGCTAAGTGAACATTATTAGCTAACGTTACGTTTATCATGTTGGTTTTAAAACAGTATCGTTAATACAGCGTGTCGGAGCAGCGTCTCCTGCAGCGGGGAGTCACAGGCAGAGGGTCCCTGCAGCGTTCGCTAACGTTAGCTTCTTGTCTTGGGACTGATAGCAGTAAACACTAAATTCATCAAATTCATAAATAAATTTATTTTCCAATAAACTGTAACGTTAGCTGTCATATTTCACGGCAACGCTACCCACGTGAGTGCGGATTTCAACGCTGTTCGTCACTTTGCCTATAGGCAAATATATTATAATATATTATATACACTATAAATAAGATTCAGTGACAAGTAGTAGGCCTACTCGCCCTGTTTAATTTGGTTGCCATGACTTCGCGTGGGACGACGTCCTGTCAGTTGCTCGAGAGGGAGGGATGACAGCTTATTTGACACATAAAAGTCAAGTCTTGTTCCGTATTGAACTGATACGGAACGCACTTTGTTCCGTATTTTTGAGAATCAATTCAGTGCAAATCCATGACAGACACATAGCTTCTAAAATATAAATGTCAGACAGACTATGAATGAACGAAGACCTGCTATAATGGAAAATTCGGGGACTTGGCGCCCCCTTGGCGGGCTCTGACGTGTAATGACGTAAAGTTGGCTCATTGGTCGCACGCAGCTCGCACGTCAGAGGCGCCCGCGCCATTGGATGTGCAGTTGCCCCAGCACAGCCAATAGCCGCCTTTCCACTGCACACGACATTCGCATACGATTGTCGCATTTCGCCTCCTAGTGTCACAGTCGAATGGAACTTTGAAATTAGTCGTGAA